AGTCATTCTTATAATAGAGATGCATGGTAAATGATATTATCAATATATAGTCTATTTAATTATTTATACAATAGAAGACCCGACCAAGATTTTGGTATAAGCCCCTTCAATAAAATTCAATTGATTTATAATAGGGTCCCTTATACTAATTTGATCTAAGATTTTTATTAAAGATAAATAAGCGAACATCTATTTAACAGTTAAAACAATAACATTTCTGCACGTAAATAGAGGTTTAACTATTTCAATTGAATATACAATTCACTTAGAGGTGCGATCCGTAAACTAGTAGTTAATATAAATAAACTATAGTTTATTGTAAAACTGTAGTTAAAATAAACTACAGTTTATTTATACGTATGATAAAGCCTTAGATATGATATATAAATATAAAGGGAGGAAGGATGGATTTAATTAAAACTGTAAATTTTGATTGCACGTGGTTTTTTTACACAGTATTTTCTGAACGACCAATTGAAACTAAAAAATGATCACACAAGCAGTATTACATATTAACAATAATTAAAGATAAAAAATTTTAAAGCAAAAAATCAATTCATTAATCATTTTAATTTGTAATTGTTCTATTTTACTTAATAAAAACAAAATGCTATTATAAATGACAGGCCTACCGAATAATTGATTGTGGGCCTTTATTCAAATTTTGCAATGTTTATTTTAATCTTAAGAATTTGATTGTGATAAAATTAGAATTAAATAAAGCACATAATTCTTAATCAATAAAATATAAATAAAGGTTATTTATTATGTTAATGATAATGTTACAAGAAACTATTTAATTTTGTATTAATTTTTCAGATTTTTACAGAGTACAATATCATTAATGCTAAAAGAAGATTGCTATGTTGAAATTATCAAATTTCTTAAATATGAAAACCAAACTTTATTTAACTGTTTATTAGTTAACCGCTTATTTTGTCGCTTAACTGTACCTATACTTTGGGCAAATCCTTTAGCACGTATAACAAAAAATTCAGTAAAAATAATTTCTATTTATTTTTCTTATCTAAATAAACAAGAAAAAAGTCAACTATTCTCAAGTATGCATCAATTTGATCTAACTGGTATACCTCACAAAACACTATTCCAATATACTGATTATTTAGAGAACTATTCCAATCAAAAAATAAAAAATATAGCCTTAATTTGGTATAAGAAATATCAAAATATATTGAAGCCTAGTTTAGAAATCACCATACTCACAGCCATCCAAAGCATGATATATCGCAGGTGTAAAAAAATTATCAAAATCCAAATTACAACACATGATGATTTATCAGAAAAATGCTTAGAACAACTTTTAAAAATAGTCAGCACTCAAACTAAGCTCAAGGAACTTGATTTAGTTGGTTGTCATATTTATAACAATTTTGATTTTACTCAATATATATTAGCAAAACCTCAAAGCTTAAGAAGACTAGTTTTTCAAAAAATTAAATTTGATAATTATGACTTGATTGATTTTATTCCATGTTTAGAAGTTTTGGCAATTAAATTTTCATCTGGTAATCTTTTCAAAGAAAGCAAAAGTAATTTACAAAATCTTCAGAGATTAGAATTAGTTTGTAATGAAATAGAATTAAACAGATCTATACTTAATATAAAGTGTAAAACGCTTAAAGCCTGTGTATTATATGAAAAATATTTTAATAAAAAAAAGGAATTAATTTCTTTACTTTGTCAAAACTATCCAAATCTTGTTACTTTATGTTATTTTAGTAGCAATCTTAGGCTCTCTTCTATGTTAGTAGAACTTCAACATCTTTATCAACTACAGTTGGGAGGCTTTGAGTGTTATCAAGATATTTTTACATCTCTGGTTAACTATTTGCCCAAATCACTAACTTTTCTTAACATACGAAGCATCTATAATTATAGATATGAAGACTTAAACAGTTTTTTACATAATCTGGATACAGAATTTGTTAAATTAAAAGTTTTAGTATTACCTCTTGATATTGAGCTTAATCAACTTCCAAATTTGAAGAATTTTATAAGACAAAATAACTATTTAGAGAATTTAAAAATAGTTAAAAATTTCAATATCGAAAAGAAAGAAGATTGCGAGAGAGAAATAATTGATCTATGTCAAGAAAGAAATGTTAGATGCAGTTTAAAAGTGCAGGATGTTAGTCAACAACAACAGTTATGTTACGATATAAATATGTTCTAATTTCAATATATAACAGAAAATTGCATTTAGAAGTAGTTGAATGTGTTTTTATACTTCTATGCAGCTCCTCTGCGAGAACAATAAGAAAAAGTGCATTGTGATATAATCCCTCACCAGTTTTAATATACATGTAACATTAACGGTCTCTGCTGTACATTAGACGTGATGGATATTCAAGGGGTCACAATTCTAAAACCCTCAAAAATTATTTTCTATTATGATTAGAGCATCGTCGAAGTCAACAAGTGTAAAGTATTGCAATTGCAAAAAAACGGGTTATTATAAGATTTATAACATAAAAATTGATTTTCTTTTCGTCAATTTAGTTCCTTTTCCCAGCGCTTAGTCCATTTGTATATATTTTTGGAAAGAAAAAATTAATTTTACGACATCAATAGCGCATTCAATTTTGAAAATCGGACAACGTTCAATTTCTTTCATGATACAAAAATTTAAATTTTACCTTTACAATATTTGTTCAATTAATAACTTAAATTGAGTAAATTTTTTGCATATTATCAAATTCGAATTTTATTAGCAAAAACAATCTAACAATTCAGAGTACAAAAATTTTTAAATTTGACTATACTGTATATATTGATCTATTGATCTATATTATTATTTATGATTGATATTAATATTCAATTAATAAATCTAAACTAGTAAATTTGCTTTGCAATATTAACCTAAACTGAGTAAGTTTTCTTTGCAATGTCAACTAAGTTTAATATATTTTCACTTTTAGGATTAGTGAATTCAGGGAATTCTGCATTTCCAATTAATTCCTTGATTAAGAAATTATATTCTTCATTAGTTGCGGTAAGAAAATATGTTGCGTTTAAATCAACATTTATGAGTTCACTTGGCATTATATTGGTCACCCATAGAATATGATGGATTCTCTAACAAGCTGTCCATTTCATTAGAATACCACGTTTATTCTTACTCCCCAATTTCTCATACATTCGTGTTTTTATATTGTTCCCTTTCCAATGATTCGTAGCTTTTTTGCTTGACTCTTCCTGCTGTTCTTGCGAACAAAGAGTAAGTAAAATGAAAAATAATTTGAATAAAGAATATATAAGTTTAATTTTTTTATATTGCTGATTGTTAATCACTATTTCACAATGATTAAAGTGTTGTTCCCAAATTTCAAGATAATTTAAACAGCCATTAACATCCTTTATATGACTTGGTAATGGATTTAATGATATTTTTGTTAAATCCTCTTCAAAGTATTTTTCAGGTGGTTGTGAATACATTTCGAATAAATTGCTTGGATCTTCCGCTGCAAAATTATCGGCATTATTCCTTAGTTTCTTTAATCTGTCTACATATACAGATGTATGATTCTTGTAATTCGTATCCGGTTCTACTTATAATTATTATATAAATAAATAAATTAGTTATGAAAATTACTAAAACCATATAACGCCCATAGGTATAATTTCACATTTTGGCCTAAATTAAGCTTAATTCCGGCCAAAATCCAAAACAACGCCACTGGGCACTATTACGTTAATGGCATTATTAATGCAAACCTAAATTTTATTACCTTTTCCTTTTTTATCAAACGCCTTTCTCTTTCTACTAATATTCTTTTAGGTATAGAGAATTAAAAGATTGGATTGAATTTATTTGTCTTTAGTGATCCATTTATAAATTTTTAACAGGTCAAATTATAAAGTATTATTATACGTACTAAATTAGTATCATCATCGAATTCTGAAAACTCTGAATCATTTGAAGATTCTACTCTAGTTGTTTTTAAAAAATAAATGAATAAGATATTAATAATATTGAAGAGTTAGTCAAAAGTATTTAAAATTTGTATATATTAGCTGTTATGTTAAAATTTTCAATCATATGAACATATCAATCGTTTCATACTTGGTTTTTATAGTGCACATCAACTGAGCTATTTTCATGTAATGGATCCTGTGGATCCTGTGCGATATTAAAACAATATTAAAACAAATAAGGAAAAGATTCATTTACTATTAGAATATAATAATGTAATCAGATAAACAATCTAACCTCGTCAATTGAATTATTAGCCTGTTGGCTATTTTCCAAAGTTATTTTCGATAAATTATCAATAATTAATGTCGATTCATTAAATTTATTAGAACTGTTATCAGAACTATCGTTAAACCCTTCTTTAGGTTGATCAATTTTCTAAAATGATTTTAAGATTATTGTTAGCAAAATAATTATTATAAATTTATGAAGTGTAATTAATTCCTATCTAATTACTAATAGCACTCTCACTACTTTCAGCTAATTCTGATATTTTATCAATTTTCTTTGTTACAAATAAAAATTTTTGTATTTAATACAGCATTTTTGATAACTATCAACAAAACTAGGAATGCTTATAGTTACTAAAAAGACTTCAATACCAGATAAAGAACTTCCTTCTGACAAAATTTCAACATCATTATTTTGCTCACCACCATGCTTTAATTAATAATGTAGTATTAACATTATTAATAATTAATTTCTGAAATTTTTACATTCAATATTTTTGACTAATAATAATATAGATAAACTTACTGAATTTTCATTGTTGTGCTTAGTTTTAATATTAGTATCATTTTTTTTTGCTTTTTTTGACGCATTATAATTTATTTCAAATTTGCGCTTTCGAATTAAATCTCTTATTTCTTCATCTGAATCATTATCTTCAACCTATTATATATTTTCTTTATATTAGTGTTGAAGATTATAAAATCAAAATTTTAGATAATACTACATACCAAACTTCTTGGTTCCTTACTTTTATCGACAAAAAATTCCTGTTTAAAAAATATATAATTAGAGAAATTAAGAAATAATAAAAATAATAATGAAGAAATAATTTATTATTTATTTATTAAAATTCTTACCGGAATAGGATCATTAACAAAAACAAAAGGTACACCCTTTGGTCCAATATTAGGTGGTTCATTAATTATAGAAGTTCTTTCATTTTCAATATCACTCTTTTAATAGTGATAATAATTTAAATATATAAGTTAAAAAATTGCTATAAGTTTTCTAATGTTAATTGAAAATTTATCTGATTATTAATAATTGAAGCGATTGATAATACGTCCTAAAAATTTGACACATAAAAGTAAATGAGAATTTCTCCGACACATGTAAAAAAAATATAGTCGATAATAAATTATTAACATTTCTATTGGGTTGTCAGCTTTTTGAAGAGCTCGCTATTGATTCACTTACAGATTCATTGACCTTTAAATGTAAAATAATTTAGAGATACTGTTTACAATTAATAATTGGCATGGTATGGAAAGTTAATTCTTACTTTGTTATTATCATTATATTCACGGTTTAAGCTTGGTTCCTTAAAACAAAAGATTGTAGAAATTTACATTTTGCGTTAATTGTTTATAATATAAAATAAAAACCAACAAAATCAGAATACTTGTAAAACTGATAAGGCATCCTTAACACTTGGTAGTGGACTATCCTCTGTTAATGTTAAAGGGACACGTTCTATACCACTATGCTTTAGTAACATTAATGTTAGACTATCGTTATTTTTTTAGTTGGTTAACAGCAGAAATGTATTATTATTCCCTCACCTTATCATCCTTAGCATAATTATTTTTTGCAACTTTGAACACCTCATTTATTTTAGATTTATGCTTTGTGGTGTTATCTTGAGCCTTCCTGTAAGTACTACTCTTTGATGAAAGTGACGAAGTTAAGGCATCAAATATCCTTTCATCTATCTCCTCATCTGTGTCATCATACTCATCTGATCCAGAGTCAACTAGTTCCTTTATGAATTTATTAAATCATTATTTTATATAAATACATTCCAGATTTTAATCGAGATAATAAAAGTTTAATAATTCTACTTGATTATTCGAATTTAAATTTTGCGCTTTATTTTTTTGAATGACCTCGCCCTCTTCAAGAGGTTGTGACATAGAATTACTTGAATTATCGTCGAATCTGGATGCTTCATTATCTTCCATGTCATCTACGTTTATATCTTTTGTATTACTTCCTTGAATGTCCATGCTTTCTAATGATAGATCACTAGGTTGTCTATTGATATTCATATCTTCAGTTTGAATAGCCTATAGATTTTCATTATATTAGTATTTTTCTAGGAAAAATTTAAGCATAATGTAAATATATTTTTTACTTCGTGGTCTTCATCATCAATTATTATTTCATTTACATCGGCAAGATTTACGATCTTTAGAAAATTTTCTCTATTAATGATTACACAACTTGGTGCATCCAAGTTTATTATACTGGGCGTTCCGTCGTTGAGAGTAAGGGTAGCTGTGAGTAAGGAATCATTATTAAAGATTACAGTGGCAGCTTTTCCACTTGTTGCTTTCCAAATAAAATTAATCGAGTTTTTTATTATTTTGTCCTTGTCTTCTATGGGTTTAATCATGGAAAAATTTCTAAGAAATAAAGTAATATCAAAGTTGAGAAATATATATGACTAAAATATCATTATTACGCAATTTTTTAATATCAAGATGTCGTGGTAATATCATTACATCATAACAAAATAATATTTTATAATTATAGAACGACAGAACATCAATTTCTGCTTATCATGTTTGTAATTTTTACTTACATTTTCAACGACTTTACTTATTTCTAAAACAGATAAAGTGGTTATATATATATTTGATATTTGCTACTGTTAGATTCTTAATATAGTTAACTTGGATGCTCATTTGATCTTGACTATTTTATAATCATCGCTGTTTGAATGTCCAAGATAGTATATTTGATTGGGTTTAAAAAGCGAATAAATCAAATTCTTATGAAAAAAAAGTTAAATCATTCATCTTGTCATCTTCACATGCCATATCAAATTAAATTAACCAATGAGCCGTTGAAGCATATGGCTTCAGAACCGATGTCCTGCTCAAGAAGGTTAATTGTCGCAATACCGAAATAGTCCAACCGGAATTAATTCATTTTAATTTTTTTTGTATACGTGCGTGTGCACATGTGTAATGTTGTGAAAAAAAGATGTCATGAAGGAAAGTAATTTTTTTTCCTTTAATTGATAAGAAAAAAAGTAGGTTTGTTTATAATGTTCCATGTTTGTAAGAAAAAAAAAAGTCTAGAGTCTGACCACTTTTGAATTTTACAATACACAATTTATACATAACTAGCTGCTTTAACTAGATTTGTTTGTATTATAAATTTAACCAGCTAAACCTAAAAAAAAAAAAAAAACTTTTTCACTTTTCATCGAATGTATTTCTATTCGAATTCAAATAAAAAGTTTTTTTTTTTTTTGAAAACATAGCATTAGATGTTAAAGACAGTGATTTTTGATATGGACGGATTGTTGATCAATACAGAGCCTCTTTATATAATAAGAGATGAAATTATATTTAAACAGTACGCTTAAATCAAATTTATCGGTTCGTGATTTTTTATGATTAGCTTTAATTATGTATTTAACTTTGGTAAACATATTTCTTCACACAGGTAATTTTAGTAGAAAATCCAGAATTCCCATTTATCAATAAAAAAGAGATTTGCGAGAAAAACAACACCCGCATAATTCAAGGTTTAAGGGATGTGATTAGTATATTTTAGCAAATTCATATTTAAATAAAACTTTTGCGTCTATTGAACTTTAACATGTTGAATTATTAAAAATTATAATTTCAATAAAATTATCTAATGTCAATTCTCTTTCCACTCAATTGTTTGAATCAATTCAAGTTTACTCTAGTAGTCCAAGTAATATTTATCTAAATCGCTTTACATCAAATAGTATTTCTTTGTCCCCGTAATCATAATCCATTAAAGAAAAAAATAATAAAACTTGATCGATACCAAATCATCTTTATAGTCTTTGTAGCGATATGATTATTAGAGTGCCACCAAAGGAAAACCTACAATCGGGCTTTCAATTATATTTTTGTGTCCAGTTTGTTCCCTAAGGGAAAATCTACGATTTTTGATTCATGCAAACATGCCATAAATTTCATGTTGCACTTAACCTAAAAATTAGGTTTACAATGGGCCGGTTTGCCTAGGCCCGAATCCATTACATCATAAGCCAAATAATACAGTTCAATTCATTAAAAAGTTGGCATATCGTAAACTTAGTTCGTTCTCCGACGGCACCTTGATGCCGTCGGAGAATGAAATTTGTTCAATTATATATTTGATGTGACTTTTCTTGTGTTATGTTTACCAGAATTACGAATTAATTCTACCAAAATTATGTTGACCAGAGTTACGAATTAATTCTACCAAAATTATGTTTACGAATTAGTTCTACCAGAGTTATGGTTACCAGAGTTATGAATCAAAATTATGTTTACTAGAGTTACGAATTAAATTCTACCAAAATTATGTTTACCAGAATTATGAATTAATTCTACCAAAATTATGTTTACCAGAGTTACGAATTAATTCTACCAACCAGAGTAGTTACAAATCAAAATTATGTTTACCATCAATTCTACCAAGATATTTACCAGAGTTTTGAATTAATTCTACTGACATTATATTTACCAGAATTATACCAGGAACGGAGTACAAAGTACGCAATTCTAGACATTTGATTGGGTGATCCATCCTTGTGAATACTAGAAAAGGTACGTACGTATGACGTACTGTACGTACTGTACGTACGTATGTACGCAAAATCTTGGGATTGATTGGTCCACATGACTTATCCGTTATTTCTTAATATTTATTTTTTATACATCTGCAGTGAGGTACGAAAATCACGTGTTCATTATCTAAATTTATAAAAAAATATCTGTAAAATCAAAAATATTAGTGACCCAATATAAATTTAAAGACCTCCATGCTAACTATTAGATAATTTTTATTTTTTTCATTGGATATTTGATCGGGCTGATAAAAAGATAATCACTGATCGTCAAAGACTTAATCGAAAGAATTTCTAAATATGTAGTGGGCGCCAAATTATGTTTCATAGATTTAATCTTTTTGCAATGCACTTCCCAAAATTTTGGATCGGATTCATTTGAACTGGGTGATGCTAGCTAGCCAAGTCTATAGCACAATTATCAGCCAGACATTGACCTCATCAATAGGTTTTCAGACTCAATCTCTGAAATTCAGATATAATGTTATTAATGAAAAGTAAAGGTTGTCAGCTAAAAAAAAAAAGGTGAAATAAAACGAAAGGTTTATGATTATTGTAAAGCCAAACTTTATGAAATATGCAACTTTAATTTGAAAAGATAGTATAGAAGTATAATAAGAACCTGGGAATAAATCAGTTATTATCCACGAAGTGGACATAACTAAAAATCGAATCCGGATCTAACGATCGAATAATAACAGAATAGCACACCAGTTGCT